GGAAACGTCGAACTCCTCAGCTTGGGAGATCCTGTTGGAGATACCTCCGCTGTACTTCGCTTCGAAGTTACCCCCGCGCCACGATGAGGCGCTAGACCATCACGCAGGGCGCGTTCTGCTGGCACTAAATATTTCTTCACGCGACTTTCTTTCTTTACATGCAAATGATAATTTAAGAAAGACACTTGAACTTAGGCTTGCAGGACCCAAATATATGACCTTTTTAGGTCTTTGGTCTTGATCCCGAACTATGGGGTGTAAATGTACAATCGTTGTCTGGATGTCCAGCCAACTTTGCTGTATATACAGCGCTTGCAGAGCCGAATGGACGAATTATGGGACTTGATCTCCCCGATGGTGGCCATCTTTCTCATGGGTAAGCCTTTATGCCGAATCTTTGATGGTTCATATTATTACAGTAGCTCTTCAGCTTCTTCACTCCAGCTAAGAAAGTCTCTGCCACTTCCATGTTCTTCCAATCTATGCCGTATAAGGTGGTCTTTTGCTGTTCTATTTCATATTTCCTAAAGACCTTGTATTTTTATATTAGAAGGTCTAATGATTCCAGGTTGACCCAAAAAGTGGTTTAATTGACTATGATCGCATGGAACAAAACGCTATGCTATTTCGACCAAAGGTTCTTGTTGCAGGTAAAGCCGAGTAGGTTGCCTTGTCCGCCTGTGCAAATGAACGCCGCGCGCGCTTACCTGAAAGATTTTCACGCGGATGTGTGCCATTGCCTATGATTGCCAGTAAATCTCCGAGAAACTTCTGTAAAGAAGTTGTCATTTTCTGCGGCACTTTTTGCGTTCCCTCCTTTCAGCCGAAAAAGAAACGTTGAAAAGGAATTAAAAGCCGAAAACTCGCAAGCGTTTTTCAACATCTGTCACCTTTTGCCTCCAACTAACAAATAGTGTCTCCTCGCCTTTGGTCCCCACGTTATAAATACTTATAGTAAAAACACGATGTTAAAATTTACGTATAGAAGTATTTTTGCCCTTTCGTATGGTCGGAAGAAGACGTCACGTTTGATCGAAATGGAAGCACTTGTTCTGAAGACTTCATTT